CACTACTACCTACTAGTGTACATACTATATATATATATATATATATATATATATATATGTGTGTGTGTGTGTGTGTATAAATTGCAGTTTGCCCCTCAGGCTGAGATGTTCCTCCTACCAATCATTCTCCGGATGTGGTTCCAAGGGGTCAGGTGTTGGTAGGAGATGGTTCAGCTAAGTAAGTCCTCACCTGTGTTCTGGCAGGTATCACTCCTCCCACCATGGACTGGATGAAAAATACCTATTGATGCCAGGTTTTAGACTGGAGATGCACCCCAGGTTTATGGTCCCTCTTCTTACCATTTGCTAGATGTCAGTTCTCAATGAATCTGGTGTTAGTTGTAGCTGGACACATCACATTTATTCCCACTTGTGTATGGTTGGATATTCTCTACCTACTGCAGAATGGAAGAACCATACCCATACCACCAGGTTTTGGACCAGAGATGCCATCCCAACAGGGCTTTCCACCTTCCTACCATCTGCTGCATGTTGGTTCCTGGTGGACCAGGCGTTGGTTGGGTTGGAAGTGCGTGCAAGTAGAGACGGATTTTAGTATGGAAGCTTGTCTTCCCTACCGATTCCTGTTTAGAGATGAAGAGGTAGGTGATTTTCTGCCTACAACAGTACTTATGTACAATTGCAGATACCCCAGGTCTTGGATGAGTTTGAACTACCACTATGGTCTGTTGCACCCTAGCCATTTGACACCCAGGGGTCCCATTAATCATTAATACATATTATCGGATTTTTTCATGTTTTTCCACCTTTTATGTTCGTGACATAGTCATAAAAAAGTGAAGAGTATACTTGGATCAGATGTGGTGCAGTGATATTTTCTTTTTGGGTTTCACATCTCATGGTCTCTCTTTGAGTGCTTCCTAAAGGAGGGATCATTTTTTCACTTGTCCTCCACCAGTTTAGTGTGGGAATCTAGCTATTTTGTGAGCGGAGATAAGATATCGTATTGGAAAATAACATTTCCCTGAACAGAAATTGTATTTCCAATAGATACTTACATCCTTTCACATTTCCCACCCAGCTTCTCCACTTCCAGTGATATGTGGTGTAGGTATTCTGACCAATCTCGAAGTGATTAATGAGTGCAAATGTGGAGAGGTTAAGGTGGGGGTTGTGTCACGCCCCTATTGGTGGAAAGCTGCTGCATAATCATTTAGATGTAGATGTGCAGAAGCGGGAAATAGAAGGTTAGTGGTGAGCATTGAAAATTTACTCTTTTTGCAGATTTTTATAGCTTTTCTGTTGGAAATCAGTGTACCACACGTATAATAATTTGCATGTACACCATATAAACATTTTATTGACTAAATAAACAGAAGCATATAAGTTTTCATTTTTATAAATTGAATTAAAGTACAAAATTTTGATTTCAGCAATTTTCTGGCCCAATTCCTAATAAATCGTATGACATGTTATCCTCTTCGTCCAGAGAATGGGTGTATTTTTTTGGCTAGTGTGTTTGTTATCAAAATGTGTAGCATTTTTCTGCACAAAGCAGCTTGATCAGGCTTTTATGGCTAATTATTTTTCAGGTAGTTCAGTGATTGACACAAAACTTGAAATGCATTATTCTTATACATTTCACTCATACTGCATGTTTTTGTGTTTTCTACTCACAGTCCATACAGTTGTTTACATCTGTTCCTCTTGACGCATCTGGCATTGACTACCATGTAGCTCTTGCCCAGAACACACTACAGCAGTGCCTAATCATCCCAGAATTGCAGAGGGAATTCCTTTGTCAACTGATTAAGCAGACTTCACAGTGTAAAAAAGGAACACAAGTATGTAGATTTATTCATATACTTTTGTAATGTATGAACAAACATGTTATTACTTATATGTCTTTTAGGTACATACAACATTGTTTGGTGAAAAATATAAATAGCAGAAAGTTTTTTAGCATTTTCTGTATAGAATAACCCATACAATAGGAGAGATAATTATAACAAACACTAGATAATATAATTTAGCCAAACGTTTTTGTGACTAAGGCCAACTCAAATGCTTTATTTATGGTAAGTGCTATTTTTTCTTTTCTAATTCAGAAAGCATGTGAAAATTAGTTTCTAGTACCATGTTGTCCTAAAGCTCTCTTCTTCTTTTTTTAGCAACTCTTATGTAGCAGAGGTTCAGTGTATCAGTTTATTCTTTTACTTATGGAATTTTAAAATGCTTATTAATGACATAATTGAAAAAAAATTATTCTATAATGCTTTTGGCATGCTTGATTAATTAAAATTACAGTGATGGAACTTTACACATTTTTTTTCTATTGTTTCTCAATAATCATTGGTAGAAAGATAAGAGTTTTTTTAGTACTTACTTATGATCATATTTGAAGTGTATTTTGATAAACTTTGTTTTTGTTCATTGTTGTAGGCTTCAAATAAATTGATAAAATCATGTTTAAAAATAAAAACTAATTTTCAGCTGATCAACATAATTATGATTAAATGAGTGATGATGATTATGTTTCTATTGTATTTTTATATCATTTAAGTTAATCAATTGATACTTAATGCTTCAACAACCTTTTTACCATAACTACATTAAAATAGTTTTAGCATACAGTTGTTAACTTTATTGCTCACATACTAATATGTGTAAATTTCTTTTTAGGCAGAGTATCCTTCTTGCTAAGAGATAAAACAATTAACTGAATTTGACAGGGGTCAGTACACAGTCACAAAAATAATACAGATCAGTTTTTTAAAATCAAATACTGAAATTTCATCTAGATGTTTAATAATGATGATAGCAAATTAGCAGTTTGAAAATAAATGCTATTATAAAGTTACCTTAGGAAACACAAATTCCTTTTCTTTAACTGAACGTTCTGGGTAGTTTATTTAACTGATTCTTCTTGGCTTTTAATGCTTATTTTGTCTGCCAAAAATCTATGTATATATACACTATTAAAAATAATAATTTTTGTTATTATTTTTGAATCAAGAATTATTACAGAGAATGGTGGGTATAATATGCTTTTAATTTAGAAACTGAAGCCTGATTGAGAACAAATTTCCCTGTTGCATAAAACAAAACTTCTGAAAAACTTGTCTCACAACTAGGAGCAATGGTTCCAAACAACTAATCTAAATTTTCTAGTGCCAAACTGTACCAGAAGAAAGAAGTTTAGAAAGACTGATTAATGGGGAAAGAAACTTGAAAATTATTTTCATGGTAAATAATAAAAATATACAGAACTGAATGTAATAAACTGTAAATAATTTTTATTAAGGGACATTTTTGATATATGTGATCAGTTATTTCACAAATATCATTGACAGAAAAACGTTTTCATTCTCTAGAAGCCAAAGAAAATCCATTTAATCCGAGCAAATGCATAAAAGTATTCTATAAATTAATTTATTTGCATGAAAATCAAAACATAGAAATTATATGTTTTGGTAGATTTATAATACTCCTTATTTATACTTTAATACACAAAAGAAAAAGTCTTGTTACACATTGACGATATAGGGAAAAAATGGATGTTACAAAATTAACATTTTCATGATTTTTAACAATGCTGAATATATCATTAAAATACCATTGCTATAGCTGATTCTTACATTTTATACCAATCAATAAAAATACTTTTCATAAAAAGGTACTTTAATCATGTCAAAGTAAGGCTATTGGAAGTAATATATACTACATCAATCTATAAAGAATTAGAATTTCAAGTGTTAATTCTCTAATATTTAGCTAACACGAAGCTCTCTTCTGTGTAATGGTACTTCCCAGGATAAGGTTGTAATACCAGGATCCGAACAAATTGTCCTAGAAGGTGGTGCTATAGATCCTCCACCATACGTCTTTATACAAGCTTGGCAACTTCTTGCTTTGGCAGTTTCATTGTTTGTTCCTCTTGGTTCAACGTTGTGGCTTCTTCGTACTCATTTTAAACGAAACTCTGACCCTAGGTGTGTAATATGTATATTTATATATCTATAACTACTTGTATATCTGTTAATCATTCCACCAGCTTTCATTACATAATAAAAACTAAAATGCGCTATGTTGTATAAATAAATCATGTAGAAAAACTAATTTCAAATTGAGTATTCAATATTTACATAGTTTTAGTGAGTTAACTAAAATAACTGGTTGGATCACAAAGTAAGCCTGTACTATAAAGAAACTAATTTAGAATACAAATCCTTTTAGATTAAATTACTTGTTCATTAAAATTAAACAATATACTATAATTTTGTCTTAATAAGCAGTGTGTGTGTGTATGGTCGTTTTATTCACATAATTTAGTTAATAAAAGTAAGTTAATAGTATTTCTGTTTCCATAATAACATATATTCATACCATAAAATTGTTTAAGGTGGCCATAAAATTGTGATTTCATGGAAATAGTGTTCTTGTAATGAAGTATTATTTTCAAGTGAGTGTACAAATATCTTAGAAAGTGTCTTGAGTAAGGAAGCAAATTATGCTATTATAGTAATATGTAGGCAAACAACAATTTGAAGAAGAGAGACCAGTATTCTCTCAAAACATGTAGTATGTTCCACCATCAATAAAACTCTTCATTATGCTTATACATCATTGTTTGCCAACCTATTAGTAGAAAGTGTGTTGTTTAAAAGAATTAATGTGTCCTGCTAAGTACGTTTTGTCTGAATATAGTCGCTCTGCCTTTTTGTCCTTCTGAAAAATGGTTAATGTTACTTAAATGAAACAAAGTAGATGGTGTCATAAGTTCATGCTAACTGCAAAAACAGATCTTTGACTATTTACTACAGGTGTCACATACACTCCACTTTATATACAATCAGATTAAAATTCTGAAGTCCTTTTTTCACTTTTAAGCAAATCTGGATAATTAAGAATGTTTTGACTACAGTGCAAGAACTGAAAACTTTAGTTGTAATTTGAAGTTATGTTTTTGTTGTCTGCTAAGTTTCTTTTAAGTAATACATTTTCTGTTGTAATTTTAGAGAGTGTTTCACATCTTTAAATTTTGATATGATCTTCTACCAGATCTTGCAAATATCAAAATACTGTTTGTTCCTGTAAAGTAAACTGATGTTCATATAGTTTTGTTTTTCTTATATTATCTGGTGACTTTAAACTACTGAAACACAGTCAAAATTAAAATGTAATTTGTTTATATAAAATAAGTACTTTTGCTATAACATAATTTAAGTCTAATTCACATAAAACAAATTCAGTGTCTGGTATCTGTACGTGTTCATTTGATATCAATAATATTGCACCACTATTTAAATTATACCAAAAATAAAAATTTTTCATAATCCAGGAAAAAGTGTGTTTTGGGCTGACTGTATAGCATTGTCAGAAAACCTGTTAGAATATTATTTTTTTTTTGCAATGTGGTAACCTGTTAACACTAATATGTTTAACCCTTATGTTTTCTATACTTGTACACAGTGTAATAAAAACTTTGAGATAATAAAATATATTTTGGCTGCTGATTGTGTGCTGTATAAATAAAAGTAAATATGGTATCTGTTATCTATCAAGAAAACTGTTTTTTGTTGAGATTTCTAGATGTTTTATTGTATACTATTTCATTTTTGACCTTTATTTAGTTGTGAATCTGGGAAATATGCCATCTTCTGTCAACGGGCCTTGGAGAGAACCTTGGAGAATGGTGGACGAGAGTACTGTCCATCCAGAATGGAAGTACTCAGCATTCTAGTCAAGAATCCCTTCCATCATTCACATCCTCACAGTATTCCTGTACATTTTCTTAATGGAGCCTATCAAGTTAGTTCTATAACTTTGCAAATTGTTTTATATAATTTTTATATCAAAACTAATTGGAGTAGATAAGGCTTGGTGTCAGCAGCTTGGTTTTAAGCATTCCGTAGCCACAGTATTTGATAAAATATTAGGTCTTGGAAATAGTGAGGCATTGTAAAATGATTGAAAAATGAGAGGAAACATTGCTTCAAGTGAATTTCAAAACTGTAAGCTCATTATATATAAACACCTTGATTTGTTTCTGGGAAAAAAAATAGACACTGAAAGCATTGTTGTGGTTCAGGTTATCAAAACAGAGAAGATGGTTAAGGAGAAATGTGAGTTGTTCCTTACAACAGGGATTACATTGCTACTGGGAAAGCAAGATAAAGCTATAACACAGAAATACAAGATTTTGACTTGACTTTTGAAATGCATGAAAACATTTTGTAAACAAAAAAAAATATTTTATAACATTCTGTAATACAACTTTACTCACTTAAATGGCATTCCTTTTTATATTTTTGGCTTGGATATAGTCATAAAATGTTATGCAATATGCTATATATATATATGTGTTAATGTTTTACTCATTTTGTAAAAATGCTGTTGACTTCGAATTTGTTTTTTTTTTCAAATATGACAAGCTCTTTGATTTGTTAGGTTTTGTAATTCCATGTACTGAGCTTACAAAAATTATATATATTTTTAGAAATTAACACTTATATTGGCAACTTTGCTTTTGTACTGCCATAATCTTAGATAGTTTAATAATTTTTATGTCAGGTTTCTGTTCATCTATCTTATTCACCAGCTTATAATTCTAAAATTACTGACTTGTCTTTATATCATTCATTCCTAATGGGGTCTTACATATTATGTTATACTGAATAATTTTACCTTTTTGCTTATTACAGCACTCACTATAAAGAACTGACAAAAAACATTTGGTAAAATCACATATTCTGATATGGTACTTACTTACCTCCTCTGACAATATTAGCTATTCTTGCTCAGTGCTGCCCTCTATATGCAAACTTTTTCTTTACG